TGGTATTAGGTCTTCCCTGAAGGTCTGATAGAATTCAGCACTAAAACCATCTGGTCCTGGGCTTTTTTTAGTGAGGAGATTTTAATGACTGCTGCTATTTCCTTAGGGGTTATGGGACTATTTAGATGGTTTATCTGCTCCTGGTTTAACTTTGGTACCTGGTATCTGTCTAGGAAATTGTCCATTTTATCCAGGTTTTCCAGTTTTGTTGAGTATAGGCCTTTGTAGTAGGATCTGATGATTTTTTTAATTTCTTCAGTTTCTGTTGTTATGTCTCCCTTTTCAGTTCTGATTTTATTAATTTGGATACTGTCTCTGTGCCCTCTGGCTAATATGGCTAATGGTTTATCTATCTTGTTGATTTTCTAAAAGAACCAGTACATGTTTCTTAAATTAAACTGAATTTGTATAAATAACTGTAAAATTTGAGGATTAGCAGTATCTAAAAAAGGAACAATTTCAAGCAATTGTAAACCATCAGCTATATATTGGCTATCAGTATACAAATTAAAAGTTTGATTTTTCAGCATTTCAAAAACAGTGGCTACAGCACATAATGCAATTATTTGTGCTGAAGCAGGGAGAAATCAAGAGAATAAACAAGTGATCCAATAACATATACTGCCTTCCCATTACATGAGCCATCTGTAAGTACTCTAAACACATTTTCTATGTGCTACATGCATAAATTTACAGAAAATACAAAAACATACATAGAGGAAAAGTGTAACAACTTGTCTTTTGGATAATGATTTTCAAATTTTCCAAAAAAATTTGCCATGCAATAGGCCAAATATCAGTATTCTGTAATAACCAATTTAGTTGCTGTTTGAAATAAGGGATAAACATTTCACCCAGAATACTTTCATGATTCTGTCCTACAATTCTGTAATAACGTAGCAACAGTTTCATAATAGGATGTTTAAACTTGGAGATGAAAAAGGATGAATCCATATTAATGATCCCTTTTGCCAAAGAACTTCTGTGGGACAGGCAACCATTAATTAGTCTGTATAGTGTATCTGTTGTTGGCTAACAGCTTCCTCTACTTTCTGCAAAGCTATCCAGGGGAATTAGGATTTGCATTCCCCTTGAGAATATCAAACAGAATTTTGAGTTCTCCTGTGGAAAGCTTAAGGTGAGGTTTTAGCCACTGAATATCTCCGAACAACTTTTGAAAATCATTAAAAGTAAACTATTTTTTTTTCACATATACTTGCAATCCAGAAGAAGGCACTAGATCCCATTAGAGATGGTTGTGAGCCACCATGTGGCTGTTGGGGATTGAACTCAGGACGTCTGGAAGAGTAGCCAGTGCTCTCAACCTCTGAGCTATCTCTCCAGCCCCCAACTATATTTTCTTATTGGAATTTTCTGTGCTACAATCTGCTTAGAACATAAATGAAGTCCCAAATATTGAAAAAGATATTGCCTTAAGCTTTTCTGCAACAACAGGCACTCACCAAATTTTTAAAGCTCATTGTACGAGAGTAAAGGCTTGCAGTAAATATTCTTCAGAGGTATCAGCTAATAAAATATCCATATAATGAATAATATATGCCAAAGGATCCAAAGTCCTAACCCCTTGTATTAAAGCAGAAACACACTTTTTATATAATAAAGGCCTATTAGCCATATCCTATGGCAAAGTTTCCAATGGTATCACTTCATGCATTCTTTAAAAATTACAGACACATTCAATTTAAACATTTTACAACCATCAAGACACAAAGGAATAGTATAAATCCACAATAATTTTATATCTATTTTTTCGAATGGTGACTGGAATGGGCAAGCCTGGTTGCAGTGCTCTTCAAGTTCCTAATTTCATTAACCTTTCATAAACCTTACACTTGAAGTTTGTTTTGGATTAATGGAATAACCAATCCCTTGGAGGTGAGTGAATACATCAGCTCCAATGTCTATTAATCCTTCAAAACTTTTTTCTTCACTTAGTAATTTAAGGTTAGGTTTCTTGCTAGTAATAGGTTAATTCCGGTAAACATCAGTGGAACCAAAGCCATTTTGTCTTCTTTTACTCTTTGAGCATTTCTTTTGTTAGCAGGCACAGCTGTAATGCCATGGGGAGGGGGGGAGCAGCCATAATTCTAATTTCTCCTGACTAATTATTATGTATAACTTCTGGCTGGTAAGCTGCCTGTTGTGAATCCCTTGGGGTCTGAGGCTGATCCCTCTTCCCAAGGAAGAAGCAAGGCAATAAACAAAATCCAGAAAACACCTTTCTAGAGGCTGGACAGGATGACTAAGACAAAAGCAATGGCATACAAACTTCTGCTAAGCACACTCTGAGTTTTGCATTAACTCAGATGCAAATGTTCTTAATCTGGGCCTAAAATAGTCTGTTCCTGCCTTTGTTCCTGGGACAATCATTTCTAAAAAGACCCAAACCTCCACATTTAAAACATTTAATAAAGCTTGTATAAAAGGAGCAGCGGGCCTGTACTGTGCTACAGCTGTTTTTAACTGTTTCATTACTCTTGCAACCATCTCCACCTGCTTGATCCCCTTCTCAACTACAAATATGGGTGAGTCAAAAATCCAGAGCCTGCAATTGAACTGCAAACTGCAGCCAATGGAACACTGGCAATTCAACCATAACTCTAAGTTTTTCTTGCAACACCAGCACAATCACAACTTTGGAAAGAAAAACTCAATCTAGTCTCTCCAAAATCAACACCAAGTGCATCACTCCCATGCTACAAAGTTTGGCTGCCAATTCCTCCAAACAAGTGTACAACTATGCAGCCTCCAATACCTCACCAAAGAGACACTGCCCTAAATCCTCTCTTTTATATGTCTGGTTTCTAGGATCTTTGGAGATCTGTTTTCCCTGGGTTGGCTCATGCTACTTGTTGTTCTCTGAATGACTTCAACCCTGAGTTACCAGTTTTAAGCTAACTTTCTGTTACCAAAGTTACAATTTTTTTTTATTGAAAACAATTTTTATTGAATATTTTATTTACATTTCAGATGTTATCTCCTTTCCCCATTTTCCCCTCACCCAGAAACCCATAATCCCATCCCCCCCTCCTCCTGCTTCTATGAGGATGTGCCCCTACCCTCTCACTCCCACCTCTCTGCTTTCAAATTCTGGATGCCGTGGGGCATCCAGCCTTCACGGGACCAAGGACCTCCTTTCCCAATTATGCCCAACAAGGCCATCCTCCCCTACATATACAGCTGGAGCCATGGTTCCCTCCCTATGTGCTCCCAGACTGGTGGTTTAGTTACAAATTTTTAATCATGCCCAATAACTTATAAGCCAATAATCTATAGCCAAGACAGGTAGAACATATTTATACTTTTAAAACCAGTCAGAAACAAAACTGAAGTGGCTAGACATTTACATATTTAGACTAGGCAAAATTCTTACTTTCTCTAACTGTGATTTCATGAGAAAAGCACCTTGTCACCTGCTGAACCCAACAAACACTGTCACAGAGATTTCTCTAGGAAAAACAGCCAATAGCTTCCTTATCATAGGAGCCAAAAATCTATTGGCCCTTTATGAGCAGCTTAAGCAGACAATCAATTCCTGGAAAGGTTTCTCCAGCTGAGCTTGACTCCAGGTCAAGGTACAAGGTAACTTATCAGTTTCTGCTGTGCACATTAAGGCTACCTTTTAAACAAGTAAAACTAAATCAAGGTGTGGATAACTAGAAGATAAAGTTTTAACTATTTTTTCATTTGAACATGAAACACAGAATAACCATCCCTCAAATAATGAAACAAAAACACAGACTGAACATAAAACAATCAGTTTTGACAGATATTGACAGATTGGAGCACCAAAACTAGACAGTAACCAGAACTAAGGATTTCTCCAGTAGGAGCCAGAGAGAAAGTGAAGAGGAAAATTCCACCAGACCCCTCCCCTCCTGGAAAACAAAGGTCATAGAACACTTAGGCACAACTCCCCTCCAGAAGGGAGAGGCTAATTAACATTCCTCAGACCACAGGGGGTGGGGACTAACCTGGGGGTGGGGACTGACCTTCAGGTGGTGAGGGGGTTCCAGAGCACATGGACAATGAACCGTTGGCCACTCACAGACAAGGGAGGTCCTTGTCACCTCATTCCCTAAAGATCAATCAGTTTAAAGAGTCACACTGTTCTGCCAATCACATTGTGCCTAATGGCTGTTTCCCTAAAGTCTGAAAAAAAAAAAAAAAAAAACCTCACTAAAAGAGTGGTACAGGGTCGCCTCTCCTTTTGGGATGCAGGATGGCCCCAGCATGCTAGAACATTAAAATTCCTCTTGCTTCTTTCAGCCTCTGCGTGGTTTATTCAGGGGGGTCCCTAGTAAACTAAGACTAGAGTCTTACAAAAGCAGAATGTCTCCCAATTCCCTCCTGTTCCTAGGAGAGTTCTGAAATAGCTTATATCCATTTTCCTTCTCTTTTGGTAACTTGTATCAGACAGGGAACAACTGCTCTTCTGAAACCCTTTCTCTCTCTCATATTCAAGGTCTAACTCTTCATTGCCTTCTTTAGGAGGTGCAGTAGCAGATACAGTTAGTCCTCAGCACCCTGCTTTCTTTACTTCCTCAATCCTCAATTCCTCCTAGCACTGCTCCTCTCGCCTGAGGCCTATCTATGATTTCCCTGCTCGAAATTTTGCTGTCACCCATAGGTAAAATCGGTGTCAGGTCAACACCTCTTCAACCTAGCTGGATCCACTTAATGCACCTGCAACAACAGCCTCCAAAAAATAACTTGTGCTAGTATCAATGCTGTTTGTTGCTTACCACATGTGGGATACTCTTACTTCTTCAATTTTCTGTGGAGCTTCACCCAAAATAGTGTTCCTCAGTTGTTCCCTTCACCCCCCCCCCGGACTCCCCCCCACAGTGTATTCAGGTCCCTCCTTCAGGTGCCACTTGTAGCCGCCCAGAGGCCATGGAGTATCTGAGTTCACCTGAAAGGAGAGCTAGAAATGTAAAAGAGGAGCGAGGCGAGAGAAACATGGAGCCAAGACAAAGTTTTCTGATCAAGGTTCAGTTTCTTATTCAGCACTTCATATACAAAGGGAAAGCCCACAGAATCCATCCTTTGTTTCAGCTGGATTATGTCACAAGGCAAGCTCAACATGCAGTCTATTCTTCTAAGTTCCTGTAGGGAGTTGTACATGCAGCCAGGATGGATGACTCCACCTGGGTCATTAAGATCCACTGTAGCAAACACTTATTCAGGCCGTTCAAGGATTGGGGAGGGCACACTATCTGAATCCCTTGGCAGACTTAATTGGCTATTTCATTTGTCATCACCAGTCTTGAGTAGTATCACAGGAAAATTAGTGGGATGAAGTGTGTAGACTAAGAACTCTAGAATAATAACCTCCCTGCTATGACTGTTGTAATTTCTCCTAAGGATTCCCTCCCTTAATCTTTACCTCCATATCCCAACTATACAAATAGGTAAAGAATTCAGAGAGCTTTCTCAGGCTTCATGGAAATCCAGTAACAAAGGCCATCTGCAAGAAATGTGGGCAGGTAGCTCAAGGGGAGAAATAAGAGCTTAGCATCCCAACCAGCTGAGTATCGGGTGCGAGGGTGACAGGCAGTCAGAGCGTGCTCCATGCAGTCAGTAACCAAAGACAGGTCCTTGTTGCCCATACGGTCCAATCCATTTATCATTTTCAGATCTATGTAGAATGAGAAACAATTAAGGTGGTTATTCAGCTCCCATCACTCCTGTCTCACACCAGCATAGAGGAGAACTTCTATTCTCTATGTTGGAGAATCCATGTGTCTGAAACCCAAGCCTAAGCTGTCCCACTTCCTCATAAAAACCACAAAAACCCTTCAAGGAAAACTGTGCACTCAGTCACCTGCATATCAGCTCATGGTAAGTGTTGATCTTATATGGCCTCCCATCCCTGAATTTACTTACATGAGAGGTTCAAGAGGAACAGAGCAGCATGTAGTGAATGCCAAGAACACTCTTTCTGGCCTGAAATGCAAACTGCCCACCACCTCAAGAGAATGAGTCTAAATGCTCTTTCTTTGAGGTTAACGAGTATGTTATTAGAACTACTAAAATGATCAAGGGGTTAAGGATTTAGGACTGGACTTGTCTTTCTTACTCAGAGCTCACTTACTAAATGCAAAGTATTTCTCGCCATAGATCTCCCTGATTTCTGAGCTGGTCTGGTCCCACAGCATCTGGAAGCTTGATGATAATCTGCCTCTACTGGTCATTCCAGTCTTGAAG